TTTGTTCCCCCCCAAGGAGTGGCCCCTCCTGACAACAAGTCCAAAGTATGCGAGACAAAATGTCATCATCTTTGTCTTTATAGAACACTGGTTAACTTCTTCTAAGACAAATGTGTTTGTTCTTTTGAGTCTGTGACATATTGAATACTCTTCTCTAACACTAAAACTAAGTGGCATCAGTTCTTCTTAGGTCTTCCTTTTTCATTGTCCAACATTTAAGGAATGTTGAAACAATTGAAAATATCATAGTTTGCATTCAAGTACAACTCAGTGTTTACCCATCCTTCTCCTGTGGAGCAGCTGGTGGCCTTGAACCAGGTGCCTTTGGAATTGCAGCACAGCTTCTTGCCACTAGGCCACCAGAGAATCATGGTAATACTAATCCAAAACTCAGTACCATCAAGTTCATTCCAACTCATGGGGACCTTTCCATTGAGTTTTCAAGGTCACAAATATTTACAAAACAAGTTTGTCTCAGCTTTCTAGCAGAGTGACTGGTAATTTGAACTGATAACTGAAGTTAGTAGCCCAACATTTAACACACTATGGCACCAGAGTCACTATGTTAAGTTCTTTTTGTATTGGATATTAAGACTTTTCTCATTATATAAATCGAATTGATTCTGGAAGAACACATCTCTCTCTTTCTCTCTCTCTTATCTATCACTCTCCAACACCCACCCACCCCCCACCCCGCCCTGACCAGCCCTGACTCAAGGCTGATCCTACTGTGGTTTTTTGAAGTTATAAATTTCACAGGAGAAGATTGCCTATTTTTCTTCCATGGAGCCTCTGATGAATTCAGACCTCCAGAGAGGCACAGTCTTTGGCTTAGTAGCACAACTCCCTACCCACCAGGCCACTTTCTCTTTAGACCTTTGCATAGGGCCTTGATAGCAAATTTTTCCAGTGCAATAGGTCTTTTGATTTCTCAACTGGTGTTACCAAGCATTTTCATTGTGGATCCAAGTAAAATTAAATTGTTGGAATCAGCAGTCAGGAAATCAAAAGGTGAGTTGTTCTGGGAAAGTCTAGTGTCAGGGACCTCTTCAGAGTGTTAAGGAACAATAATGTCAGTCTAGAGGCTATAGCGTGCTTGAACCAAGCCATGCTCTTCTCAATTACTTGCTATACATCTAAGAAGTGGGAAATGACTAATGATGAGAGAAGAATTGATGGCTTTGGGTTGTGGTGCTGGTGATGATTATTGAAAATACCATGAACTGCCAAGAAAACAAACAGATCTGTCTTACGGTGAAACCAGGTTGCTCTTTGGAGACAAGGATTGTGAGGCTCCATCTCACATAATTTGGGCATGTTGCCAGGAAGAAACAGTTTTGGAGAACATAATATTTGGAAGGGTAGAGAGTCAGCACAGAAGAGGAAGACCCTGGACATGATAGATTGACACAGTGACTATGACAATGGGGGCAGGTGTATCAAAGACAGTGAGATTGGTTCAAGATAGGGCAGGATATTGGTTCAAGATATTGTGCATAGGGTCTTTATGAGTTGTAGTTGAGGTGATGGCACATAACAATCACAACCACAACCATTAGTTTAGGGAACTCAGATGGTTTAGCAATAAGAGTTGTACTGTGAACTCAAAGACATGAGGTTCAAATCCATCTGCTGCTCCAAGGGAGAAAGATGGACAATCTTTCCCCATGTGCGATTAACTGCCTCTGAACCCACTGGAGTGTCAGCTCTAGGGTTCTGACTTGACAATACATAACCACCACCACCATAAGTTTGAGTTTAGGAGATTATTTCTTACAAAGAATGAATGTATGACACTTCTGTTTCCAAATTACTCAGTTCTTTAGGTTTGGTACCAGTTTCTGACAATTGTTAACAATCCCTCAGTTTCTCCATGGGTTACTTAGGGGACAGAGAAGGGCAACTGAGGTTTTGGTGGTGAAGTTAAACTGTGTCCCTCTGCTTTCTAAGTTCTCCTCCCCCTGCAGCTGAGTCAGGCGGGCGTGGAATCTGCCTGGCTCTGTGCAGAATGTGATTAATGTTTTGCTTTGGATGTGGATGACATTTGTTTCTTCCTGGCTAAGACGGTATGTACCAGCTGTTACTCAGTGGGTTGCACAGCAGACATGGAATTAGAACTCCAGAAACTTCCACTTTGGAGGAGGATAGATGGAATGAGATTGTAGTAAATTATACCAAGCATGGAACTCAGCACCAGCGTGCCTACAGTGTGAGGTGGTGTTGCTGTATAATAAATATGTTCCTTTGATCCTATGAGAATACTCAAGGACACTTGATGTCTATGTAGGTACACAGATTCTGCTCTGTTCAAAGTCCCAGCCACAACCCTTGTGTCTGTCTTTTTTCTCATTTTCTCACCATGGTACTCCAAATACTTTCTTCTTCTATGTCATCTTCTCAGATTTTAAGATCACAGTGATCTACCTGTGGTTTGTGAAGACAACATGGTCTCCAGACATACATCTTATTAATGTGCTCAGATTATGGAAGAGATAACCTGTATTTGCTCAATTATTCCATTTCCACACTTAAGCACTCCTTATTGTGCTAGATGGTGAGATATAACCTTGGACAAGAGACAGAAAGCAATAAATAAGCAAACAAAGCAATTTTAGAATATGAATTCTATGAAAATAATAAAAATAGTGTTTTTCTGGATTTGCACAGACTATCACAGTAGTCCAAGTGACTGTTGGGTATTTGATATGTGACTAGTTCAAATTGAAATATCTGGAAAGTGTACAATCACACCAGATTTGGAAGACTTAGTACAACAAAAGATGTCTCACTGACAATGAAAAAAAATTATTGTATATTGAAATGATCATGTTTTAGATGTATACAATTAAATAAAATATGTTATTTTAATTCCACTCTTTTTATTTTTATATATGTGGCTCTAAATAATTACTATTGAGTTGATGCTAACTCATAGATAAAATTAGATTTACATGCAGGGATTCCATATGTATCAGAATAGAACTATGCTATAAACTTGATTTTTCAGAAGTGTACCAGATCAGAGAGTTGGACAATGACTAAGGAGGATAGAAGGAGAACTGATGACTTTGAGCTGTGGTGCTGGAGAAGAGTATTGAGGGTACCATGGACTGCTAGGAAAACAGACAGATTCATCCTGGAAAGGGTTAAACTGGGTGACTCCCTGGAGGCAAGGATTCTGAGGCTCCGTCTAACACACTTTGGACATGTTATAAGGAGGGACCAGTCCTTGGAGAGGGCCATCATGCTTGGGAGGGTGGAGGGACAGCACAGGGGGAGAAGACCCTCTCTGAGGTGGATTGATTCAGTGACTGGGGTAATCGGGATGGGTGTGTCAGAGGCCATGCGATTGGCATAGGACAGAGCAGAGTTTAGGCCTGTTGTACTTAGGGTCACTAAGAGTCACAAGAGACTTGACGGCACATAACAATAACAGCCAGACCTTTCTTCTGAGGAACTTCTGGGTTGTCTCAATTCTCTAATACTTCTGTTAGCAGAAGAATGTCTTAACTATTTGTACCATAGATACTATAATGAGGCTTTTAGAGAATTTTAAACGGCACATGTGGTTCACATCTGTAGGTTGCTTTATATTCTATGGACAGTGGTAATTTTCTTGTATAATGAGCAGGAAGGATTCTAGAAAGTGAGACCTGAGAAATGAGAAAAACAAGGAGACCTAAAAGATGATGGGAAAGAATTTGGGAGAACTGACAGAAAAAACATAAGCATAGATATTTAGTGAGAGGTAGAATTTTCCCCAAGATATGGTTTGGGAAAAAGTACAGACAGACTTCTCCTAGGAGGTAAGGATGCTTCTTCTCACACGTTATTAAGAGAGGGTATTTCCTGGAAAGGGGCATCATGCTTAGAAAAGTGAAGGGTCAATGAAAGAGAGGAAGACCTTCAACAAGATGGAATGAAATGGTAACTGTAGCAATGAGATCAAGGGTATCAGCGATAGTGAGGATGGCACAGGATACTTCAGAAATGGTGTTCACATTGTGGCTGTGAGTCATCCTTGACTTGACAGCACCAAACAACAAGACCATGAAAAAAATTCAGTGAGAAATTCATTGAAATTCATGAGAAAAATTCAAAGAGTTTAAGTGTTATATCAAATATCATGGGGCATCCCTTTAAAAGCCAGAGTGGCTAGTTTTATTCATGACAACAAATGTGCAACGTGTGGGCATTGTAATTAGAGACAGAGTGACTACATATAGGGGAAATATATCATCAGTGCATAACACTCCAAACATGATTGCATTATTTGAATTGGGCTATTGAACCTGACTTCTCCTTGGAGACTTCTCTTGGACTGCCGAGAGAACAAACAGGTCAGTCTTGGAGAGGGTGGAAACGATGCTCCTTCGAGGCAAGGATTTTAACTCTGTGTTTCATATACCTTGGGCATATTTGTCAGGAGAAAGCAGTCCTTGAAGAAAGACATCATGCTTGAAAGGATGAAGGGTCAGCACAGAAGAGGAAGACCCTGGATGAGATGGATTGATACAGTTACTGTGGCAATGGGCTCAGGTGTGTGCAGGTGTGTGAGAGATGGTGAAGTTGGCTCAGGATAGGGCAAGGTTCAGAGTCATTGTTGATAGGGTTGGTACAAGTCTTAGTTCACTTGATGGCACCTAACAACAACAACAACAACAACAACAACAACAACAACAACAACATTAAAAAAGTGAGCCTGTCTAAAAGGAGCTTTGTTGGTGCAGTGAATTAAGCATTTAACTGCTCCCCAAAAGGTCAGTGATAAGGCAATCTGCTTCTACAAATGTATGAAGCCTTGGAAACTCCATGAGACAGCTCTACTCTATCTGACAGGCCTAATTGGGATTGAAACAAAATTGACGGCAATGCCTACCTTTTCCTCACTATTTATATAAAATAAGAGCTATGATAAAACGAGTGGTTTTTAGTGTTTAGGGTCTACTTGCTAAACTTTCTATTCTATGTGTTTTGGATCTTTGCTTTTTTTTGAACAGTGCTTTGAACCAGATGCTCTGTTACTAATAGCTGGAGGAGATTTTGAAGATCAGCTCAGAGAGGACATGTTCCAGAGAGTGTCTCTTCTCCTCCTCTATTACATTATTCATCAGGAAGAGATCTGCTCTTCAAAGCTCAACATGAGTAATAAAGAGTATAAATTTTACCTACACAGCCTTCTCAGCCTCAGAAAGAATGAAGACTCTTATTTCCTTTCAACTAATGAAACAGAAGACATCTTGACTTTCACCAGGCACTACTTTAACACTTCCAGGAGCCAGGTAAGGATTGTGGTGCTGCTTTCCGGCTCTGCTCCTGTCATGCAGAGCCACATCTTATTGCAGTAATTTATTTATTCCTAAAACATTCACAACCTTCTGAGAGGTAAGTATTTGTGGTTTTTAGTTCGAGGATGTGAAGTGACATAGTTTAAAGTTCTCAGTCTAACAGTGGACATGTAATAATTCACTATTAGGAGTCCCTGGGTGGCATAGGTAGTTAAGTTCTTTACTACTGACCAAAATGTTGGGAGTTTGAATCCATCAGGACACACTTGGGGAAAATAAGCCACACCATGCAATCTCTTTTCAAAGGTCACACAGACTTTGAAGACTATAGGAGTACCATTCTACTCCAACACATATGAGGTTGCCATGTGTCAGAGTCAACACAGTAGAAGCTAGTTTAATTTATGTTTCACATGCACCTGACTGTTGACCCAAAGGTTGGTGGTTGAACCCCATAGGAGAAAGACCTCCTTAAATATGATATTCCAGAAACCTTGTGAGGCAGTAATATACTATCACATGAGCTAGCTATGAGTAAAAAGTCAATACAATACTACACAAAAATAATAAGTCAGATGAGTTTTGGTCAGAAGTTTAATGGTAGGTGGATAGACAGGCCCTACAAGAAATTCCACCTTCTTCTGGGTTTCCCTCAACACTGACGTCACTATGACTCGAGGCTTTCTGATCTTGTTCCAAGGACTGAGCCCAAGTGGCAGAAACAAAGCTTACAGAAAGTATTCGTCATGACAGTCAGCATTAGAGTACATCCCTTTTGTGGCTTTGGATTCCTGTGACATGTTCAGGGCCCCCGCTGTGAGGAGACACGTACATGGTCTTTTACTACCTTCATTGCCCCTTCGGCAGGTGCTGGCCTTTGCCTTACCTGCTTGCTACCTAGTTTTCAGTAAGAAACTTCAGCATAAATATGGATGAACATAAGAAAGACTTTCAAAAAATTAAGCCACCTTTTTTTGAAGAATTAATCAATGAGCCCATTCACATTTTGAAGAGTACAGAGAAAAAGGATTTGTTTCTCTGGAGTTCATGGAAATGAATAGATGAATTTGATTCTTATTCTCAAGTCTGGCTTTTGGGAGCAAAACTGTATCGAAGCAATCATGCTGAGATTTAACAGCCAGCAAACATATTCTCTAATTTGCTTTTGGCAGAGCAAATGGAAAAGTAGTTTGCTAAGGATTTTGCAAATATCACTTCTGTACTCCTTATCCTTTGGATATCGACATTGGTCGTAGTTGTTATAATTTTTATTTTTAATTTTGAAAATATGATTCCTCCTTTATGGAATTTATAACCCTGGTAGCACAGTGGTTTAACACTGCCTCTTATCCAAAATGTCAGTGATTTCAACCTACCAACCTTTCTATGGAAGATAGTTGTGCTTCTGAAAAGATTTAAAGACTTGGAAACCCAATATGACAGTTTGGTTCTGTTCTCTCTAATCACAGTGAGCTAGAAGCGACCTGATAACAACAGGTTTGGGTTTGGTTTTCACAGAATTCTGTTTTCTCCTCAAATAAGAAGGTGTAGCCACATATCATTTTACCTCAAGTTAGTCTTGGAATGGAATCCCAGCCCTTAAAAGCTGACAGTGTGTGCATAGTCGACCCGGCTTTCTGGTCACTCAACACATGCTGCACATACCTGGCTTCTGAGTGTTTGTGAGATGAAACAGCCCCTGAACAGTAGAAAATAATTCAACATTATTGTGTAGAACTACTTTATGTGTCGATTCATCCCACAAGAATTTTACTCTTGAAGCCCTATCCTTTTGCTAGGCCTCAGACCAGTTATCGACTGGAAGATACTATTGCTAGTTCTTGGAAGGGTCCTTTCCCACAATCACCTGAGCTAGCCTTCTCCTTGGAAGTCAGTCAATCCTGACTCCTGTGAGAGATGCATTGGACCTCTCTGGAGGCTACAGCTGCTTCAGGCCAGAGAGTGTGAGGTTACTGAAGACACTGACATTCAGACCCACCACCATCAGCACGTCCAGGTCCTGACCTGCACATGACTCAGTCAAGTTGTACATCTATGACAGATAATTCTCAATCAACTCCAGAAGAGATCTGCTTTAAACCATCATACCCTAAAGTGGCCAGTCTCCTTAATTGCCCAGAATATAAGCATCTTTCCATTATATCCTTCTCTTTCCTCCAAATAGTTCTTGAATTACCATCAAGAAAATTATTTTGGATGATATTAATGATATTTTTTGATAGTTTCTGCATTCTGTTGGAAGGATCATCTTTCACTGGAATTGCACGAATACGGATCTCCTCCAGTTGATTGAGTTCTGTGTGGTGCTTTACCTTTCTGACTCGAGCTCTTATGGGTCCTACCCCTCATTCTCTGTGCTGCTTGCTGTCTCCAAGATACAGAAACAGGATGCCTCCACATGTTGTAAGGAGAATGGCATCTACTTTAGGAAAGGAAATATGGCTGGAATTGTCCATAATTGTCCGTGATACCTGGAGGATGTTATTTTTTTTTATAACTTACATCAAAGCATATATTTCTAAGAGGGACATGCTTATTTAATGCTATTGATTATTGGAATACATTGTTTTTATCTGTGGAGTGTCTATTTACTCTTCCAAATATGTCTGAATTTTGGTATCTGACTCCTTTAAATTTCTCTTCATACTACAGTTGTAACTATGTTCTTGCCAACAATAACAAATTTTAAAAGAAAAAAATCCAACAGGTATTGTTCATACATCTGTTGTTCTGTGTGACAAGAATGTAATATGGACAAAGGACTTCTCTTGATCCATTTTCCTACTTTGTCCATTTCTTATTTTTTATTTTTTCTTTCTTCTTGCTATTCTTAGGGGCTGTCAATTCTAGTACAACTCATAGTGACCCTATGATCAACAAATCTGAGCCCTGTTCTATACTGTGCCATCTTAATTTTTAGCACCATTATATTTTAGTTCTCAATTCTGTACTGGGTATGAAAAAGGAGAATTGATGCCTTTGAGCTGTGGTGCTGGAGAAGAGTATTAAATATACTGTGGACTGCTAGGAAAACAAAAACAGGTTTGTCCTAGAGAAGGTGAGAATAGGCTGCTCCTTGGAGGCAAGGATTCTGAAGCTTCATTCTGACATACTTTGGACATGTTGCAATGAGGGACCAGTCCTTGGAAAGGGACATCATGCTTGGAAGGGTAGAGGGACAGTGCAGGAGAGAAAGACCCTCGATGAGATGGATTGATTCAGTGACTGGAGTAATGGGGACATATAAGATAGGCACAGGATAGAGCAGGGTTCAGGGTTGTTGTATATAGGGTCACTATCTCTGGAGACTAAGGTGTGCCTGATACAGGCCATGGTTTTTGCAATCACTTGTTATACATCAGAGAGTTGGACAATGACTGGGGAGGATAGAAGGAGAATTGACGCCTTTGAGCTGTGGTGCTGGAGAAGAGTATTGAATGTACCATGGAC